TCCTGAAAATGAATTGCATGTGTGTGTGTGTGTGTGTATGTTGAAATTTTCTTTTTTCGATTTCGATCCCTTCGGTTTAAATGGCTGGATGGACCTGAATTTCTGGATAAAAAAGCCCAGTGTGTGTGTGTGTGTGTGTTGGTTTGTTATTTATGAATATATGGTTTTTTTTTATTCTTTTGCCTTTCTGTACATAATGATGGCGATGATTCGTTTTTATTTTATGGATCAAATCCGATTTATTCCTGAAATTGAATTGCATGTGTGTGTGTGTGTGTATGTTGAAAAAAGGAATTAAAAATGAAAATAGAATTTCGATTGAAAAATTCTTTAATCGATTTTTCCATTTTTCCATTTTTTGTTGTTGTTGTTTCGTTTTTGCAGAATTTTCAAAAGAAGAAACAATGATTGTGTATCAAAATTGCTATTCGCTACAGTCTATTGACCATTTGCTACAAACTTTTTTTGTTTTGTTTTGTTTTTTTTATTTGTTCATCGCAGATCGATACGCATGTCTTGTTGTTGTTCTTTTTTTTTCTGAAGCGAACAAGATGAATTTCAACTCAAAAAAAAAAAAAAAAAAATAGAATCATCATAAAGATTGGAGTTGAACAACAACAACAACAACAACAAATTCAATTTATAAATTAAAATATCAAAAAAACAATTTGATTCATGTCTTGACCATTTTTGTTCGACCTAATCAGTTAAATATGATCGAAAATCGATTGATCAATCGTATTTTCATTCATTCATGTTTTATGGTTCATTCAATATTTTGATGTCCGATAATTTTGTTTTTTTTTACATAAAAATCCAATCAAAATTGATAAAATAGAGACGTTTTATTCTGTTCAAATTCTTATGACCCATCTGTCTGGTATCTTATATCCAAAAAAAAAAAAAAGAAAAAGTGAAAAACAGATGAAAAAAAAACACACGGAATTTCATGAGTAAATTTTAAATTTTCTTGGTTAAAAAAAAAATCTTTGACCAAAGAGATGTCATCTATGATGATGATGATGATGATAATGATGAAGAATCGCAACCACCACCACCACCACTACCACCACTACTACTACACGACCACTACAACAATAAAAAAATCCACAATTTTTTCATTCCCAGATAGCTAAACAGCCCAAATTTTTTTTACTTGAAAAACAAAAAAAAAATCAAGCAAACACAAAAGAAAAACTTTCCGGATTTCCGAATACCATGAATGAGTATATTGGCTTAAATTAGAATTTTTTTTTTCGGTCCTGGTATTGAATATTCTGCGTATATTCAACGCCAAAAAAAACGTTGGAATCGAAAAAAAGAAAAGCTATTCCGATTCCAATGAACAAACAAACAAAAAAGGTGATATATAGATTAGTAACAATTTTTTAAAAGTGGAGAAAAAAATTGAATTTCTACTTATTTTCATCATTTTTTTTTTTTCGTAACACTTTGAATGCCATTATAATCGAAATTCGAATTCTTTGGTTTGGTTTTACATATGGAAATTTTGACACACGAAAATGAAGAAGAAAAAGAAAAATGAAAAACAAGAATCCAATTCCAAGGCCAACTAGCAGTGGCTGGAGATTATTTTTTTAATTTCACACACACACACACACACAGACAGACAATTGAGTTGACAATGTACAATGTTCAATTCTAGAGCAATATGTAGCAGCAGAACAAAAAGCTGAGAATATTCTTAAGCTTCATGAAACAAAACAACAAAACAAAACAAAAAATAAATCCATCTAAATCAATGTTATGTAATAATAATTATAATCAATGTATTGTAGCAAAAAAAAATTTAACTTTTGGCTAATTAATTCTAATCTCTATTTTTTTTTTGAATTTTTGTCGCTTTTAAAACTTTTTCCAATGGAAATACATGTGTCTTTTGTGTGATTTAGGCTTTTTTTCGATTTTCATTATTTTTTTTTTAATTTCACACACACACACACACACAGAGAGACAATTTTATGTAGCAGCAGAACAAAAAAAGCTGAGAATATTCTTAAGCTTTATGAAACAAAACAAAACAAAAATTCTGTATAATCAATGTATTGTAGCAAAAAAATTTAAGAATCTAGATTTCTTCATTATTATTTTGCAATTCTGTATTCGAGAATCTAGATTCTTGTTGCTACTGCTGCTACTGTTGTTGTTGTTGTTGTTGTTGCTATTAAAGAAATAAAATTACAACAACAACAACAACGACGACGACGACGATAACAAGTAAAATTTTCTATCGTTTAGGCCATTTTTTCACATTTGTTACAATTGTTTGTTTTTGTTAAAGCTACAAAGTTTTGTATTGGAAAATTCTCTTTACACACACACACACACAGATATTTTCATGGATTTTTTTCATCATCATCATCATTTGAAACAAGAAAAACATTTTTGAGTAAAAAAAATTGCTTTTTTTTTTTCTCGGATGCAAGTTCAATTTAGTTTTATTAGTCTTTTTTTTGAATGGCATGGGATGATGGTGGTGGTGATGGAATCTGGAATCCATTTTCTATTTGTTCAACCAATTGTCTATCATTGATTTTGTTTAGATTTTGATTAGGTTTCGTTGTTGTTGTTGTTGTTGTTGTCATTTTTATTGTTGCGATTGTTGTTGTTGTTGTTGTTCAAACAGAACATTATCAACAGCATTTAATTATTAAAGAACTGAATTCAATTTTTTGTCGTTGTTGTTGTTATTGTTGTTGTTGTTGTTGTTGTTGTTGTTGTTGTTGTTGTTGTTGTTGCTGAAAAAAAACAATATTCTGTTGAATGAAACAAAACAAAAAAGGCCAAAATAAAAACGATACAAACAACCATCCGAAACACGATAATCATTTTAATGATGACATTTCCTATTTTCAAATGATGAGAATCATTTATTGTTATTGTTGATGATGATAATAGTAGTGGTGGCTGTGGTAGTGGCGGATGTTTGATCGGATATACATCTTCCGGTCGATAATAATGGATAATCAACTGAAATAGCATTGTTTTTTTTGTTGTTGTTGTTGTTTGTTAATTTCACACAAAGATAAACTATTAAAAATTGTGAAAAAATTGTAACAAAATTCAGTTCTCAATTCTTCCTGTGAAATAAAATTGCTACACACACACACACACACACCTATCATCGTCGTCGTCGTCGTTGTGTTAATCAGATTTTCGTTTGAAACGGAAATGAAAAAAAATTTTATTTTTTTTTGGATTCAAATTGAATGAAAACAGAGAATAGAGCAATAACCGAAAATCGGGTATTAGAATTTTTTTTTTGAGTATCAAGAATTGTATATTTCAAGATTAACTAGAAAGATTCTTTGTTTGATATTTGGATCAATCATCATCATCACAGACATACACACACACACACAATGTAGCCAATTTTAATTTCTTATAATACGTGCTTTGTATCGTGATGTTATTTTCTTGATAAATAATCCATTTTCAAGACAATTTTTTTTCATATTCTACATGGTGGTGGTGGTGTTTGGATTGTCCAGTTTTTTTTTCATCATAAAATTTCCTAACAGTACTGCAAAAGAAGTGGAGAAAAAAAACCACTCAAAGTTTTATGTTTCAACGACAGCCACCAATCAATATTAATAATTAATAAAAAATAAAAAAAAAGTGATAAACATTGCACACACACACACACACAGAGAGACAGACACATGAAATGGTCAAATCGTATGGTTTATTGGTTATTTTTTCCATTCGAAATTCTAGCCAGAATTCTAGAATTTACCATTCGAATATTCTATGTTTATTACAAACATTTTTTTTTATCATTGTATTTTGTTTTTTCCGTTTTGTTTTTTTTTTTTTGCTACAAAATGATGATTATTATTATGAAAAAAAACCGGCGACAGCTAAATGATCGAATTAATGTTGTTGTTGTTGTTGTTGTTTTGTTTTCCGTTTCCATTTGATAACAACAACAACAACAACAACACAGAAATGGTCACTGAAAAAAAATGTTACAAAATATTCATAACACAAACAGGTTACAACGCATGGGCAAATATTTATTATTTAAACATTTGGACAAAACAACATCAACAACAACAACAACAACAACAACAACAACTTCAATAGACAGATGAACATCAACAGCCGCCGCCATCGACGTCCAAAGGTCGACGGTGATAATGATGTTAATGAAAAAAAAATCAAGGATGTTGTCGAAGGTCAGAACCCAACCCTTTTTTTCGTGCAAAGAATTTTCTATCTCTCTATTGAAACAAAGCAACAAACGTAACAGAAAAAAAAAAAAAACAAATGTGAATAAATGGATGAATTCACACACACACACACACACACAACATTTGAAACCAAATTTATTGCTTTTTTTCTGCTTCTCTTTGATAATAATAATAATTATAATGAGGATGAGAAAGTAATAAAAATATCAACCGTGAGTCTCGTTTTTGTTGTTGTTGTTGTTGTTGGATGTTTCAAAGTCCAAACACAAACAGACACACACACTGGCTACAAATTCACTGAAAATTTTTTTTTTTTTCATCACCAATAATTTTCTTGTTTCACAGTATTTTTTTCGGTTGTTGTCGTTTTTGTTGAAAATTTTTTTCTACGAAAAAAAAACTTGCTCAAAAAATCTGAAAAAAACGAAAAAACTTTGCAAATTGATGATGGACCATTGAACTATTCATTGGAATGAATGATTTGAAATAAACAACAACAACAACAACAAAAAAAAGTCGTAAATTATTTTTTCTATACGAACGAACGAACTAAAAAATATACTACCACGCCATTCGCATATATAACATGAATACACACACACACACAGCATACTAAGATTCAAAGAGACAGCAGCAATGTTTTAAAATGATTTTTTCATTTCATTTCATTTCATTGCCAAATGTCACTGCTCTCTTGCTTTTCTTACGATTCGTGTTGACCACATGAATGACATGATCGATATGAGTGAAAATAATACAAAAACTTTTCTTCAAAAATTAACTTACTTTTCACTGGAACTCTTGAACCATGATTACGACATTTAGAACATTTTGGATGTCTTGATGAATCATTTGATGTACTAGAACCAGAAGCACAGCTACTAGCATCAATTGCAGCAGCGGCAGCAGCAGCAGCTGCTGCTGATGATGATGCGGATGTACTATGTGATCGTCGTGTTGTTGTTGTTATTGATGATGATGATCGATCACCAATAGGTGAAGTGGGTGTTGTTGAACCACTAGAATTTACACCACTTGATCCATTATTTCCACCAATGTTTTGTGTTGTATTATCACCATTACCATTATTTCCATTATTACCAGTACCGGTAAAATTACCGGCAAATGCAGCTGCATTAATTACGGCCAATGTATTTGGATCTTGTGCCAATGATGTGAATGCCGGATGTTTGATCGACGATGATGATGATGATGGTGATGATATTATTGTTGGTGATGTTGAATTTCTCAATAAAAAATTACTTGATGCAACAGCTGATGAAAATGCCGATGCAAATGGTGATGATGTTTCAACACCTATGGCACCATGATGTGATATTGTTGTTGATGATGATGATGATGGTGTAATACTTCTGCTGCCACCACCACCACCACCACTACTAGCTGCTGAACCAATCAAATTTATTGGATGACCACCACCACCACTACCACCACCATGAATACGTGTTGATGATCCAATCGATGATACAGATAATGCATCATCATCATCACTATTATCATTCAATGTTGATTGTTGTTGTGTAGATGAAAGTTTAAAAAATTTCTGAAATCCAGCCACTGATGATTCAACCATTGATGAATGATGATCACCACCATGCATAGATGGTGATCGTGAACGTTTATTACCATGGCCACTATTTACACCAGAATTATTATGATTAATTGGTGATGATGTTGGTGATATGGTGGCATTTCCGGTCACAATCGATGCGGCCGCAGCTGAACGTAACACTTGTTCAAATGATGTTGTTGTTGCTGCTGCTGCTGTAGATGATGAATGTGCCGGCAATGGTGAATGTAGATTCAAATGTGGATGATGATGATGATGATGATGATTTGGATGTGGAATATGTAACGGAAGATTATGATGATGATGATGATGATTATTTGGTAATGGTGGCGGAGGTGGTGGTGGTGGTAATACACCTGCTACATTTAAACCATTGGTTAATTGTTGTTGTTGATGATGATGATGATGATGAGCAGCTAATGATGCTACCGTATGATGTGAATGAATAGCATGTGATGATGGTGGTAACGATTGTTGTGGATGATGATGATGATGATGTAAATGTGATGGATGATGATTCATATTGATCATTAAAGCAGCAGCGGCTGCAGCTGCTGCTGCTGCTGTTGCGGCAGCGGTTGCTGCTGAACTGCTGCTACCAGTTGATTGACTATTTGGACTATTATTATTATTACGGCCACTTGTGGTCATAATCGAATCAGTTGTTGTAGAAATTAATGTTCCAGATGATGATGATGATGATGATGATGGTGGTGGTGGTGGTGGTGGTAAATAGAATGCAGATGTTTGTGATTGATGAAATAATGATGGTGACGTTGTTATCGGTAATAATTGTTTTATAGACGTATCATTGATTGGTGGTGTCAATATAATTGATTCTTCTGAATCAATATTTGATGATATCGATGATGATGATGATGATGATGATAATGGTGATGGTGTTGGTGATAACGATGAACGAGATAATTTCTTTTTATTAATAAATGATTTACAATTTTGTTTCAATGTTAATGTGGATTTTTCACAATTTTTATTATTATGACTATGATGATGATGATTAGAAACATTCGAAATGATTGATACAATTGAATGAGGTGATGATGATGATGGTGATGATAAAGCGGAAATAGAATTTGTAGATTTATTACCGTTAATCAATGTTTCCGTCAATGTGGTCGCTGATGGTAATGATTCTTTCACAATAATATCATTATTTTTATCTAGTTCATTATCATTATTATTATTATCATTATTATGCTGTAAATTATTTATCATTGAATTCATCATCATATTGTTACCATTAATCGATAATGGTATAGATGTTGCAACTGCGGCAGTGGCTGCTGCTGCTGCTGCGGCTGCTGCTGCTGCTGATGCGGCTGACGCTTGTTGTTTAGCAAATATCATTTCTTATTATAGACCACATTTTTAATTTCATCATCAGCAACATTGTTGTTCATTGTTGGTTATTATTGATTTTCATCACTATGGATATGTGTGTAATTTAAAAAACTTTAGAAATTTCTTGGAAATTTAAAAATTAAATGTGAAAAAAACTTTCCGGAAATTTTATTTCCACTCTGTGTGTGTGTGTGTGTGTGCTTTTTGAATCAAATTTTTTTCTTTTGAATTTTATTTGATTGATTGATTTGCCCTAATAATTTCGTCAATAATTTTGAAAATTCCTAATTTTTGGTATCGGTTTTAAATTTGCCACTTTAAAAGTTAAAGCAAATCAATTAGAAAAACCTAATGATGAGTGAGAATTAAATTTTGGGAAAAAATTCCAATTTTTTATTTTGGTTAGACCAATGGAATTTTTTTAATTTTATTTTTGAAAAAAATTTTGCCATAATATGGATGGATGAGATTCTTGTATGTGTGTATGTTTGCTGTGATTTGCATACTATGCGCATGCGTTATAAAATTGAAATGATGAGATCACGCGACATGATGATGATGATAATGATCATGAAACTAAGGCAATGGTGATGGCCATTTGATGGAATAATTTTTGCATTGACAACCAAAAAAAAAAAAAAAAATTTGGTGAGCATCTGTTGAATGAAAAAAAAAAAAAAATAAATGAATGAAAAATTCAAATTAAATGCTCAAAAAAAAACATTTACAGTGAAAAGAAAAATCAAAAAAAAGAATCAGAATAAGAATCCAGTCACACACACATACAAGAAATGAAAAAGAATCCTGTTATATCCGGATTAATGGACGAAAATAAATTAATTATAAGTTATTGTATAACACAATTGTAGTCAAACATCCCAAGTTGATATAATAATAATAAATTGCTACTGTATCAAAAATCCAAGAAATCAAACAAAAACTTTCATTATGTTTTCGATTTGCGCGTGTCCATTTTGTTCATTCATTTTCACATTCACACACAAGTGTTGCTTCCTTACACACACACACACACACACACATGATTCCATTTCATTCATTGCATTCCATTTTTGTCAACATTTATTATGGATTAATAATAATTTTATTAATACACAAATCATAACATAACATTCACGTATACACACACACACACACATAAACAGAATGTAAAAGAATTAATATGATTAATCTGAACAACAACAACAACAACAAAAAAATATTCTGCAAAGAATCAATATTCAACACGAATGATTTCATCATCATCATCATCATCATAATCATTAATGAAAACATTTTCCTGATTATAAAAAGCACTTCAAACATACGCTTCAACTAATCAACCATCATTGTGGTTGAATGATTCCATTTTTTTTCTTCTTCTTTTTCTTATCACACCATCATCGAAAAACATTCCAGATTTTTCTCCCCCCGGCCCAACACACTTCCACCCAACCACCCACCAACGCACAAACAGTCCAATTTGATATAAATAATGTTTGTGTGTGTGTGTGTGTGTAATCAGAGAAAAACCACCAGAACAAAAATATAATAAATAATTTTGATCATCATCATCATCATATGACAAAAATGATTTAAAAAAAAAAAATTCCTGATGATTGTGGCTACAAATATAAAATATATCCACCAGAATAATAATTGAAATGAAGGAGAAAAAAAAGTAGCAAATAAACAAAACGAAAACAGAAACAGAAAAAGAATACAAAATGTATTCAAACAACAACAACAACAACAACAACAACAACAACAACAACAACAACAACAACAATTCAATTGGAAATGATAGAAATCACAGCATCATTGCAATGTGTGAAACTAGAACCAAAACTAAAAATGTTCTGCTGGTGTCCAGCAATAGCAACAACGACAAAATATTCTGCTATATTGCTGGATTATTGCTAGCCTATTTCTATTTAGTGTGTGAAAATAAAATTAAAAAAAAACGATGCTAAATGAATTGATAAGTTTGTTTGTTTGTTTGTATTGTGTGCAAATGTTTTTCTCGATTCTTTTTATTCTTATTTTTAAAACAAAAACAAAAAAAAATTTGGATAGAATTTCAACACACATACACACACAAAAAAAAACACATTAAATATTGTGATACTTGGCTATTCTGTTTTCTCTGTGTGTGTGTGTGTGTGTGTATTTGTGACAAAATAATTTACATTTCATTATTGTTATTATAATTTGATATGTGCTTGGAATGAGAAGAAAAAAAAATTCTTGTTTTTTTGTTTTCGTTTTGTTTTCTGGTTTTCATTATTACTATTTTTGATGTTTATTCTAGTGTGTGTGTGTGTGTGTGTGCGTTTTTTGTTGGTTCGATTCTTCAAAGAGATAGAGATAAAGAGCAAATATAATGCGACACATCTGTGTCGCGTTTGTTGATCCAAAATCAAGAGAGAGAGAGAAATGTTGAAATCAGTCTTTTTTTCTGGCTGTTTTCAAATTCTTTAGCAAAAGTTTTTGCAATAATCTTCTGTGTGTGCGTGTGTGTGTGTGTGTGTGTGTGTACGACAAAGTTGTGATTAAAAAAAAGCAAAAACCAGAAATCACAGATTAAGATGCTACAATCAAAATCAATTGAATTATCATGCAATTTTTTTTTATCTATTTGTTTGTTTGATTTTGAAATTGAAAATAAAAAAAAAGAACAACATGGAGAAAACAATGTTCCAATTTCAATGGAAATGTCAAAATTGTCAAAATTTTTTTTCACAGAGAATTGTTCCGTGTGTGTGTTCGTAATGCCTGTCAAATCAAATAAGATGAAAAAAAAATCTCAAAATAATTTGACTCTTAGAAAGTTATTTTTTTTTTTTTTTTTGCTGATCATCTATTGTCCATTGACATGAAAATGACAACCAATTAATAATTGATTGTTTGTGAAACAACAGTAGTTTAGTTGAAACATTTTTTTTTTTCATTTTGCACTCATCAATCTGCTTGACCATTCATTCATTCTTTCTGGGTGGGTGGGTGTCAGTGTATGTTTGATCAGATGAATTCATACAATAGTGATTCTTGACCACCATAGAATAATTCTATTACATTCCAGATGATAATGAATATGCCAATAAGAACTTTTAACATATCTGATATCTCAAGACGCATACAAAAAAAATGTAACTGATCATCGAACATTATAATTGATGATGATTTGTTGTTGTTGTTGTTGTTATTGTTGTTGTTGTTGTTGTTGTTGTTGTTGTTAGCCATTTGTTTATTGTAACCAAATATATATCATCTTTTTCCATAATTGTAAAACAAAACTAAGAAAAGAATACAAAAGCAATGAAATTGATGATGATGATGATGATGATGATTATGTTTTTTTTTTTTATTTTCTTTCGATACAATGTTTTGTTTTTCTTGTTTTTCTTGTTTTCTTTCTTTATTTTTATTTTTTACATCCAGATGATACATTTATGAAATGTGAATATATCTATTTATCTATGTGGATGTTTTTATGTATCAACCAACTTTTATATATATGTGAAAAAAAAAAAAAAAAATGAAAATTGAACCGATACTACTACTACTACATCATTATCATTATCGCCATAGCCATGGCCATGGCCATCATCATTATTATTATTATCATGGCCATCATTAATGTATATTTATATATCAGATCAGATATAATAATAATAATAATAGAGAAATTAATACTAATCGATCGATACTATCGATAGTAGATTATTATTAGATAGATGATGGCTTCATTTTTTTTTTTTTTTTTTCGTTTTCACACATATTTCATCGTATCATTACTCCTTTTATCTAAATGTATATGCTGATAAACAGAGTTGTTTTTGATGATGATGATAATGATGAAATTCAACAACAACAACAACAACAACAACAAAAAAAAAACAACAACAACAACACACGTATTTAAATGGTGATGATGGTAACAAACTGGAAAAAAAAACTTTTTTTCTGAAAACAAACAAAAAGACCAACCATTTCCATTTCCACTTTTTGGCACTTTCATTTATTAAATTGGCTACTGTAGCGAAAAAATAATAATAATAATAACAATGGTAATAAAATAG